TAGTCAAGAGTTTTGTATCGAAGATACGAAGTGAAATTCGAATTTGTTTTTTTCTCTCCCTCTCCTCTCTCTCTGTAATATTAATATAATATGTTGTGTTGTGTTCATTGGTACTCTTTTTTCTCATCATTTGTACTAGTCTCATACAGTCCAGTCTTACTCATTTTGCTTTTTTGGTTGTGTACACAGACGTATTATTAAGGGCACATGCTTGAGTTTCACATATATGTTATAAAAATATACGTACATGTAGATTGAATATTTTCTTCGATTTAAACTGTAGTAATAATACGTAGTTTTAGCTATCTCTTTTGATGAGAGAAATCTCAATTTCACTAAAAGTAAACCTTCAATAGAAATGCTGAAATTTAAATATTACTTCTGCAGAAATAGAAAACTATTTTACTAGGAACTCCATGGGACTATACAAGACATTCGTACATCATTTGATGAAATATGTTGCCAACCAAATTGTCAGTTTTTATAATTATTTTTGCCAACCGTATGGCGATCACCGCTGGTCGGCCAAGGCCCGTAGCGGACAGGACATTTGAAGATTGAGGTGCAGCACAACATTGCGTTTAATGACAATGAATTGGGTCACCTTTGTAAATAGTTCTGGAAACAAAAAGAGATGCAGTGGTTATCAAGAAATTCTTGGGTCTAATGATATCCAATTTCAACTAAGGTGCACTAGGCGAAGACTCGTCCCACTTACCTACCTTCGTCCATCTAACACCCGCCGCCCTCTCCTTCGACTGCGTTGCGTCACCGTTCCACCTCTCCACCCCCCACGACCATCAAACAGCTCGCACGTCTAAGAAACGGAAGAATTTCTTTTTTCACCTACACGCTACAAGGTATGTACGATTCAGTTTCCTAGCGCATCTGTCATAGTCCCTCAGAAAACAATGAAAATGTAATTTTCAGCTCCTATGATGATCGCTAGATGATTAAAAATATCTTAAGCCAACAAAATTGTTTCTTAACTTTTGTGAAGGTATCAACGTCACCCGCAACATATTAATAAATATAACTCTAAAAAAAAGGATCAATAGCTTTTCATCAAGAAGAATGCAATGTATTTTTTAAAGAAATAACTTTCTTCATTCCCATTTGGCCCTTTTTTGAAAAAGTTTTGATACATTTTTTTAATGAACGTGGTGAGCGCTTTTCTCAAACAATTTTCTTAAATATCATACCATACCAGGGAATCTCGAACGCGTCCATGCAAGCACGATACTCAGAGATCGAATTGAGCCAGTTGTTGGGATCCGTACAGAAAACGACTTAAAATGGGCTTAGAGAAGAACTGAAACAGAGCGGCAAAACACACATTTCGGAGGAACATACCTGCGCATTGGGAATCGTTAGAACACCGAAGAAAAAGGGCACTACTTTGCGCAATGCATAAATCTTACACTGGTTGTTCTATGCGGCAGGAAATTCGGGGAAGGCTAGATAAACCAGATTATTAAAATAGATTTGAGTACAAATATAAAATTTGAAAAGAATACAAAGAACGGACAAAGGCAAAATTCTCCTTTGTAAACAAAACAATAACAGATTTGAACGATTTGCCTGCGACAGTTTTTGAGTCTTTCCTTTGCTCAGCGCCAGGTTTTAGGGGGTAAAATATAGATAATCAGTAAATAGGTTGAAAACGTGTTGTGAAATTGAAGTGAAAGGTGCGATTATTGGTAGTCTACAGTTAATAAATATTGCGCATGCGGTGCGGTGTAGTGAAGTGATTTAATTTCCTTCATTTTGTTTTGCTAATCAAAAAACGTATTTTTTAGGCTATTCCGACATACGTCGGTCCTTATTGATTTATGTTAACGAAGATTTGTCTTAAAAATGTAGGAATTATTATAAGCACTGTATGTTATATTGTGGGATTAGGTAAAAATATGTTTATATATTTGCCCCAATTTGATTATTAGTGAATAAGTGCAGGCTTGTGTGGGTATGCGAGGGTTCAAACGTCTGTGTATCTATTTACGCGTGTATGTGTACATTATTAATGTAGTAAGTTTATTTATCTACATGATAGAATATATGTATTTGCATTTATAGTATGTGCTAGGAAGTGACAAAAATAATTTGTTGTTTTGTATATTGTTTATATGTAGTTGTATTTGTAATTGTACTTTCATACGTATACATTCTGACACCGAGCAACATCCGGCTGATTGTACAATAAAGCGTCTGTTATAAATGTATCTAAAATACATTAGTAACATCCTTTCTGTAACAGGGAAAAATTGAACATTTATTGTCTAGTGTCATTTGTCAGAATGGCAAACAATAAAGAAAGTTCTGCATGGGTGCCATCTTCGGCGGAAGTAGAACTAGGAAAGTCTCGTATCTAATATGTTGTCACAATTGCACGATCTGCAATAAACATTACTTTCAATCTCTTATTTCCTAAACAGTCACCTTAGAAGTAAATGTCGTGTAAGGCCAGCGACTCCATACCGGTTCCGAGTACATGGTAATCAGACTCTTCATGTTAAATTTGAATCCTACATGTCGAACGCCAGCCGAATTTCTTCATTAAATTCCACACTTGTAAGCACTGTAATGTCAGGCAGAGCGCAGGTTTCTGAATTACATATTTTATAGCCGAAATAATACTTTCAAACGAGATCATTTGGCTCCAGCTTGGAAGCGACACCTCCACTGCCCAGCTACGCCACTCGGAATGCTGCTCCTGAGACGAAATCAGGCTCCTAATGCACCGTGCGTGGAGCGTCAATCGTGCCATCTAAGCACGCGGTACATGCGAAATCGAGTAATGACTTCTTTTACTAATAACACGATACCAAAATAAAGAGAGCAGGTAGCATGATTATTATTAATATATAAGCCGTAACAGTATAGCATACATTTGCCATAATACCAAGGACCCTTGGACAATTTTAAAGTATAGTATTATTTACATCATGGCTACACTCGTGCGTAACATCTCAAAAAAAACCAGAAGTTCTTTAAAATCCCACAACACGAATACTGTTTTTCTGTTTCTTAAACTCAAATTTACTGAATAGCATTTTCGCTTGATCATTGCCACTAAATGTGTTTTTTAAGTCAAAAAATAAATTAACTTTGTAATGCTTAGGACAGGCACGTCCTCTGTATAATTATATACCGCTCTTCAGATAATTGCAGATAGAATAACGATAAACTGCGTTTTCATAATTATTATGACAGCAATCACTAAGCTCAATCCCGGAAGGACCGGTTCATGGGACGTATCTGAGATTTCCTTCATGAATCCTAGCAACCGAAGGACCGGTTTTCGATCCCAGGTGGCTTCAGAGATTTTGTCCTACACTATCTTCATTTCATTGTTTGCAGTTTGCAGGAAAGGGAGACATTAAGTTCTTCGACACCGATTTTCAGCAATGCAGGTATTCTTAATTGGCATCAAACTAGTCTAAAGTGCTCACTCACAGGCACCTATGAGAAAAATACATCTACTCAACGTTTTTGGGTAGATCCGATCGTAAAAGTATTGGAATTTAGACAAATGGTAAGATTAAATAAAGTAACAAAACTTATATAAATTGCTTTTATCAAATAAAGAACGTATGATTGAGAATTACAATATCATATAAAAGACGAGTTTTAAGTCCTTTCCACGTACTCGTCTATTTAGATTTTTATTGAGAGGATTTTGCAACAGTTAAGTACCTTTTCTTCCGTAAGTTCATAATCAAAATCATGATACCCATTTTATTATTATCACACAGCCAAATATAATAATAAAAAGGTGGGCAGCATACATTTTAAGAAATTTGATTTATCCTCTTTGGCCATTCTCTGGACGAATCCATCTCTACGAGGCAGCTGTTAAATAGAGAGCGATCGCGAAAGGCAATATTCGTCCCACATCTTCGAACGGAAGTACAAGAAATGGACGCAAAGGGGGTCAACCAGTAGACAAAAACACGTGGAACATGTTTCAACCACTATATAATTTATAATTGGACATCTGAACACACTTAGATGATCGTAATAATGTTTGCACCTTACTAACATACTTTAACAGGGCCCTTAAGCAAAGTAGAAGGAAACCCGACTCAGTATCATCAGACGAAGCGCACCTGCAGCAACTGCGGCTTTGGACCTGCGGCAACTGCGGCTTCGCAAGGCAGAACCTTCAACACGCAGGTAGACAACAGATGCAATAATAATTTTACTTGATTCATTTCTACTGTGAAGATATTGTTAATAGGAAGTGTTGCATTGTCAGATTCCCCCATGGTTGTCATTATTTCGGTGACTGAGCTTCTCTCCTTTATTTTTATTTATTTAATTTACGCCAAAACAGTTAAAAATGGATGTGATGTACTATGGAGAGAAGTGTGTTCTGGGCACGTTTTCTTAAATTCTGGAATCTCTACCCTAACCGCTACAAAATGAATTGTAAATACATGCGGAAACGAGTGTTTTGAGAGAATTTGCTAAGAAAAGTTTAGCTTCCGTAATAAAAACCATTTGAAAAGAAAAAAAGCTACAAATTTTGGCTATTATCCCTCAACATGCCTTTCTGAAGAAATCGACTTACTGATGCGAGAGCATGGGGAACGTTCTTTTGAATAACTATAACTAAACTCCAGAAAATGTGGAAAGATAGTGAAGTCACATTTATCTTGATCCTAGTTTTAATTACCTAAGCTACCTTCTTTCAACTAAACCGAAAAATTAGAAAAATCACATTCCTTAAAAGTCTTTAATATCTGACAACTAATAATGAAAATATGATTATTTTAAGGATTTTATTATCATAAGTGACTGTATTTCCCATTGACTGGACTTCCCTATTTCAAATGTTTCTCAATTAACTCAATTAGTGTCTGAACAAATCAATATTTTTAAATTTAATTTTGAAAGAGTTCGCTCTCATATTGAAAAAACTTACATTCTACAATCTCCAATAATGATCCGCAGCGTACCATCTACAAGCATGTTATTTTCATATATTTTTTATCTAAATGTATTTATTTACAAAAATAACAAATGTTTTATTTGCAATTTCTTTACGATGTCGCACGCTGAAATTTGAAGTGTTCACATTTGCGCCGAGCCTTGATCGAACGGTGACCTCGAGGCGCGGGAGTCCTCGAAAGAGCTTTTTTTGTGCGCTCGTGTGTGTGAGCGCGCGTGTGTGTGTGTGTGGGCGCCGTGAAGCGCGCATACAAACGAGACGTAGCGGGCCGCTGGCACGGGTCGCATCGGCGCCGGAGCCCGATCACGGGGAGGTGAGCGCGCGGCGCGGCGCGTACGGCACGCCCCCGGGCCCCGGCACCGCACCGGCCCCGGCCGAGGCGCCGACAGTTCCCCGCCGACTCAATGCTCGAGCGAGCGCCGCTCCCGAGGAGTGCAGCCACCATGCTCCCGCACAGATCACAGGTACGTCACGGCCCCTCCGGCGCGGCCGCGAGGCTTCGCACACGAGTCGACCAAGGCAATTGCCTACAGCCAGCAATAATGTATTGCTGCTGATGTTACTAGTGGGAATATTAATATCTAACCCCAAGCAGGTGTGCAAACCTGCAATAGGGAACATTAAAAATGCAATAATACTGTTTGTATCGATATTGAACTCAGTCATGAGGCTGCATTGACTTCCCGGAAGCCAAACAAATTATCATTCCAATATTCCCTTGAGATCAAAGAGAATGAGGCAAAAAAAATATAGACAAGTAATTGGTAGATAACAAACATTTATAACATTTTATTTGTAATTTGTAACGTATTCAGAGTACTACTCATTAGTCTTGCCGCTTTCGTAGGCGTTTTATTCAGTGACCTTTTGTTGGAAGCAAGACATGCAGTACCTGTAGGTGATCTAATGTTCGCGATGGTCACAAACTTCAAAAGGACGGAGTTGTGACCCTTCGTCAATATAAAATATTTTATGACAAACATTATTTCCTTTCTTCAGTAAATGTAGTATGGTAAATGATGGATGATCTTGAACAATATTTCATGAAAATTTCACGGGGTCATTCGAGCATTACGTCTCAGTATTTTCACTCAGTACAAATCATTGCTATACCTAAATAGTAAAACAATTCTCGAAACAAAAAGAGCACAAAGACCCACTACTTGACGAGTTGAGACGAGTTGATAAATATTTATTCTTAAAATTTGTTTAGTTTTGAATAAATATGTAATTTATATTTTATTGTTGTAAGGTGCGTATGTTATGTATTTAAATTTAAATGATTCTTAAAAATTTAAATTAACGGGGAATGGGAATTTCAGATTGCATTGTATGCAAAATACCCTCACGCCGGCTATGGTAGTGACAATAGAGAACAACAAAAATGTCTTGCTTCTTCGCACTTACCGAAGTGCTCTTCCCAAGAAAACATTGCAAATATTATATGCTCTAGATGAGAATATCTTTTTTCCAATACAGAGAGTATTTAGCAATACAGAGAGATTTATTCATTCAATGAACGTTTGATGAGTATGATGCATTACTTCACAGAACACTTTTAAAGCGATCTGACACCCAATGATACATCATACACATTCCTCTGTTATTTTAATATCTGTTTTTTAAATAAGTGTTTAGTCTACAAAACACACTCGCTGTCTATCTACCGACAGCAATGCCGTATTAGCAACATATTTTTTCGTACGAGTTAATTTCTCTTAACATTGAGACGGGGCTTCCTTGCTGTTTCGCCGCACCCCTCCCCCAACGCAGCTGCCATTTGGCGCCAAAGAGAATACCAGGACAGTACTCTGCATACTAACTGGATGACGTACTTCACATAGTACTATACACGCAAATTTTCTTGATATTCCAGCGGGGGGTGCGCGGAGAGGAAGGCTCTGGCTAAGTCACGGATTAAAAGAGCGTACCACCTGTGGACATTAACTTAACTCGCCAAAACGTGCCACGATAAAGGCTACGACTGTTTTGAAAGCACGAGGTAGTTGTTGCCAGCATTGTCAATTGGTACGTGCCGTTCCGAGTCGAAACAAAGAATCTCAACGTACCGTGCTATTCAGAGCTGAATGAGGGCTAGGGAGCTCGTGTACAAAATGAACTTGCGCGAGAAATAGACGTGCCTTCGATCCAGCTTCGGCCGCCATATTGCGTTGTTTTTTTAACATTTTTTAACGTTCTGTCAGTATTTCTGTAACAACACTCACAACAAGCCAAAATCTTGCGTATATTGTATTTATATACATGGAGCAATCCTCCGTTAAGTCTATAATGATATACTATAGAATATATTGCAGTCTGTAGCCCGTGGGTCGTGAAGAGGACCGCCAGATCGCATCTCCGCGTACGCGCCTCCCATGAAGGTCTTCTCAGGGACCACATTCGTAATGAAAATCAAGGGGCAGTTGTGGCAAGGGCAACTTCAAACCTCTCGAAACAGAGAAGGCATTTTTTTCTAAAATATTATTTTGTTTCAAAGCAGCAATCACCGCATGTAATTTCAACATTCTTTCGGACTGCCTTACAACTTAAAAACAATGCCTGACGTTTGAACAAAACTCTTTTCTTCCAACAAGGATCACAACTTACAACCACCCAAACTAGTTTCTCGCCCAACTACAATATGGCGACCCCCATAATGAACAGCTACGCTTTTCTACCGCACAGAAGTGTGGGAGGTAGCCATATAGAGATCACTGTACCAGGGCCTCCCGCAGAAAACACTTCCCCCTCGGGGATGGCTCACAGTGAGCGCCCCATCGCACTCCCCGAAGGTCATGTGCAGGTAGCATTTAGGCGGATCTCGTTCTGTACCATTACAATTACCATTACGAAAATATCGAACTAGCAATTCATATTTATGAAAAGTCACATCTGTATACGTTACAGAACGTAATATTTTTCTAAATACAAATGCATGAATTTGAACTGTAATAAAA